AGGCTTGTGGTTGATTTGGCAGCAAGATGGCGAAACTCTACCAGCAGGGCCTCAATTAAGATGGCATGCACAAGTGGCGGGTCCGCAACACTATTCACAGTGAGAAGGACGTCGTGCCGCGCGGATAAGCCATGCCTGGGGTAAGGTTGGGTGGAACGGCGACACTGGTGGGCAGACTGGCGGAAGCATGGATGGGCGTGTCCTTCTGGTCACCAGTGTAGCAGCGCAGAGAGTAGAGGAGGAGAGATACGTGCGACAATGTCGTGAACAACGTTACTAGAATAAACTCAGTTTCAAAGCTCCGTATCTCAGCCAGCGGAGGAGGATGGGCAGAACGGCGGTCGCGAGAACTAGCGGCACTGCAGTGTGATTTTGCGCAATGCATCGTCTGCTACGGTGGCGTACCGCAACGGTGCGCTGTGCTGTTCCACACGCCGGCTTTCCTGTTGTAATGTTCTCAAACTTGACTACTCATCATGTGCTTCCAGTCAACATTTTCACGTCCCATTTATGGACTGCTTAGGTGGATACACACGAGGTCTACTCTATAGATTGGCCCGGATGTTTTCCTCATTGCAAGTTGGCTAAGAATCAATGTCCTTCTTATATTTGCACTGTCTGCATTCGGTTTAACCTTCAGGTACAGGAAATTCTGCAAGAAGGAGCAATTTAAGAGCAAAAATTTTATGATGACTGCTACCATTTTAACCACTGTCATCTTGCCTAGACGAAAAGCGGCTCAAAACGGTTGTAAAGGCCTCAAACAAACTGGCCTACCTACTAGAATACAAAAATACTTTTGAAAAAGAGTACTCATGTTTTCTGCTAGTTACCAAAAAAAAAAAGAAAGAGACTTTCTTGAAGAAACAGTACCCATGCTTCACACTGTTCATCAGACAAGTCTTCGCGACAGCTACCAATCGAGAGCAGAGTGCTCAATGTTACAGCAGCTTCACCTCCCTTCTTGCATTGTACACCTTTTCAGCAAGCTCCTGATTGGTTTTCTTGCAAAAAGAAAAAAGGATATTTTCATCACAATGTAAAATATAACCATCACGTTCTCATGATAAGCAATATAACTCAAAAGATGCAGTGGCAACTATTCAAAGTTTTCAAGCACAATTCAAAAGAGGTCATTAAGCAGGGGATATTCGTAAAAAGCCTTTCTACAGTTTTCTCAATCGCTTTTAATGTAGAAAGTAGGCCGCATAAGGGATGATCTAAGCAGCCTTCTTTCTGAATGAGTGTACTTTCGTGTGGTTTGGGCGCACCAGCTCCAGGGGTACTTGTGAAAGATGCTACAGGCCCTCTTTGCAAGTTGTCACTTATTCAATTTTTTATGAAGGTACCCACAGATGCAGTGCACTCATGGTGTGCTACTTCTTGTTGCACTTCGCTGCAATGAGAAATGACACCGACATGTGCCACCATTACCTGCTTTAAAGTTCAGAAATGAAAACACTGCGATTGAGAAAAATATCTATTGCTATAATATAAATGTAAGAAAACCTGGTCACTGGTGTAGTGTACACGTATCCCGAAGAAGTACAGCCACTAGCGTGGGTCTGGTCTTAGCGAGCCGTAAAGCATGCGTTAACCGTCGCCGTGGCGAGAACACGATACTGCTCAAAGTCGCAACACTTTATTGTCTGTGGCAACACCAAATGCAGTACAGCCCATTGCGAAGGCGCGGCGGTAAAGCAAATAGGCTTATCCACGCCACGGGCATAAAGGTGCTACACAGGGGGCCACAAGCACGTCTCCGCGGTAAAGGTGATCCACGGAGACATTGGGACCAAGGTCCGGTTGCTCGAGCGAAGGCAAAGGCGCTCGCGTTGGCTTCGGAGGGAGATGGTTCGGCGTAGCTAGGCCACGCACTAGAACACCGTACCGCCCTTTGGCCGTGCGTACGCAGTGGGGCAACAAAAAGTAAGTGTTCGCCTCGGGCACGAGGTGCCATCAGCGAAGTCCGACGAGCCCCGAGCGATGAGAGTCGACGGACGGAAAAGATTGCGTGGCTCACCATCTGCAGTCCCGGAAAGTATCTATCTCCCCACTCCCGACGCAGCGCGCGAAAACCTCTCGGGAGACTCCACGCACGGCGCCACAGTCAACATCCGCTACCGGGTGAGGGGGTTAAACGTCACTCCGCTCCCCCAGGGCGGCAGACAGCGGAGGATGGGAGACATGTCGGGACATGAGAACGGCAGAAAAGGCGACAAAGCCCGCGCAAAGGCAGCGGGCTAGCCTCAATTCCCACACTGGCAAAACACTACCGCTTACATACATTTGTGTTGGTTGATAAGAGAAATATATGTTGAAGCAAAATTATCCACTGCTTTTAATGCAGCAAGACCATTGACAATTGATAAATGTCCTTATTAAGTATCGACAGCGTTGCTTGTCGCGTGTCTTTTGTCTTGCTGTTCTACTTCTGGCGGCTCCTCCAAACTGGGCACTGAGCATTCGAGGGGTGCCATGTGTTTGGGGGGGGGGGGGGGGGAGGGGAAGAAGGGAATGGGCACCCTGGTTATGAACATTTCGGCATTGATACATGGGGCGGAATCGCTAGGAACAAGTGGAGTACCGGGTGCGAACTCCCACTTCCCGCGTGAGATCAAAACTTCTTGTCCAGCAAAACTTGACAGTAGTGTGTTACGATGCCGTCAGTCTCACATTGAACATCGTAGACTTTGGATTTGGCAGTGAGCTTTCTATATTTGCGACGCCAGGTTTTGTACCACCTTTTGAATTGTGCTGAATTTTTTTTAGGTCTGTCACGATCAACGGTAATTGGTTTATATGCCAATCAAGACTAAATGATGGAATGCAAATGATTCACTTTACTATGCCCAATTTGAAAGTTTTACTATAGTAACATCGTCTCAAATTGTTTCGATCATCTGGTCACTTTGCTGGGTTATTTTTGTTGGAGGTTAGAACTGTCTTCCAGTGTGTGCTTTGGTCATGCTCCTAAATTAAATTGTAAGATGAGCGACTGTCTTTCCATCTATACTTATACTTATGTTTATGTGCTGTATATTAGTGGAACGTCATAGCTTTAACGAGCCCGTTTCACAGAAATTCTAGCATCGGCATCGCTGTCAGTATCTCTAGTTATGAGCGAGTATATATCATCTTGTTCGTGACAAAAAAAAAAAAATATCAAGAAACTTGCCAATGAAATAAATAACAAAAACTTCGGTACAAGTGGGAATCGAACCCAGGCTTTTTACGTGGCAATCGGAGGTTATACCACAGAGGCATGCCAATGGTCAAAACCAATTCGAAAAATATATATATATATAAATTTTATGTTGAAGTTTTCATTAATATTGTGTTCAACCAAAAAAACTAGGCCTTATCTTTACACTTCTTTTATTCATGTAGTAGAAGAAATTTCTTGAATCCACACTCTATTAAGTGGTACAAGCGTACAATTGTGTCGCGCATCTAAACATGTGAAATGTGCAACGAGTGGGTGTTAGAAAGGGCCAGCCATTATGGGGCGCTCCATTATGTTCGCGTGTTGCTTTATGCATGTGTAAAGGCCCATTTGCTGAGTCGCAAAAGGAACAATTATGATGCAGTGGGCACTTCACAACTGTACTTGCAGTAGACATTGTACGATAGTTTAAAACAGCCAGTGTTGCACGCACAGTCATTCGTTACTTCACGGCACGGTTGGGGCATACACCGAGACCGAAGCTAGGCTAGCAATTGAACAGTTGGTTCGCATAGGGCCCAGTTACGCTATTGCAGTCTACTCTTGAAAGCGAAGCTCAAGCGTCCTCCAAGTTTTGTAATTGTTGTGTTTGTAACTTTTGTGTAATTGCTGTCACACAATATACATAATACTCAACGATGTGACCTCTGCTATATCCACCCATTGCTACCCTATGTAATAATAATAAAAATTAAATAATAAATTATTAAATTATATTGTTATTGTTATTGGAAATATAATTTTATTTGCACTACAATATGCAAGGCTAGACAGCCAATTTGCTTACGATCGTTCATCTGCTAGCCCGCCATTGCTGGCCGAAAGGGATCAGAGACGACATGTATGGCGTTCTCAAGCTGCTTATAGCAGCTTCTATGTTGGCCCATGCCACTGTGTAAGCATGCTTACAAAGAAAATAAATTAATGAATAAACAAACAAGTGAACTAACAAGTTTGTGAAGTGAAGTCGTCATTGCGGTCCCCGCTATTGGAGCCTGGCATGTATGTCAATGTAAATAAATCTGCTCCCCCTTGCTATGCCTCAGAATTGAGAAACGCGTTTTCATACAAGAAACTACGCAGTGCCAAAAAACAGTCCGAGAAGTGACGTGGAAATACAGTGCACCATTTGCGGTAGCCGCTTCCATGACACCACCGCCGATCACAACACGCGCGACCTTAGCCGCTACAGCAAGATCGTAGTGCAGCGCCACTACTTCTCATGACCGCCTAGCGGCCTGCCTCAACGGCGGAGCTTTCAAACCGAGTTTATTCTAGTAACATTTGTCGTGAAGTCGGCCGAAGTGGCCGTGCCGATCTTGCCACCATATTTCAGGGCTGAAGAGCAGCGGCGGTGACTGCCAGCATCCGACATGCCAGGTGCGTGAACTCATCCTGTTGCTCGCGCAGCTCGAGCTTGGCATGAAAGGCGTGGTGGCTAAGAAGAAGATGATGATGAATGGCAAAAACGATAACGCTACAAATGGCACCAACATTTTCCCCTGGTTCACATTTCTTTTCAAGCAAATCTAGTAAAGTGAAACTAAAAAGCCACACGAGTCATGCACGATACAATCGAGACCTATGTATTCTAGCATCTTTTTATTGCCTTCAAGGTCAGAGTGTGGTGAAAACAAGATGATGCGCTTTTCATATTTCTTTTCATTTCTCCTGTCCATTTTATTTCTTATGTGCCACTCTTTTTTTTTCTCTTTGGTCATGGAAAGTACGGAAATATGAATGTGTGGTGTAGCAATCTCTTTGCTTTGTGCAGGGCGATGGCCTGACAGTCCAGCTCATCTTCTTTGATGGGGAGGAGGCGTTTGTGCGCTGGAGCTCAAGTGACTCCCTGTATGGGTCCCGTCACCTGGCAGATGTCTGGCACCGCAACAGCACCCAGAGCTACAACCTTGAAGGTTGCCTGCCTCGCTCAGACATTGCCACCCAGATTGACCGCATGGTCAGTTTACCTGCTTTCAAGAACTGTTTCGCGAAACTCTTTCTCAGTGATGAGCAGTCTTGTGGAGATGAAATCTGACTTGGTATGATCAGTTTGTTGATATTTTTTGCCACGACTAGCTCTGTACAGTGGAACTTCATGTATACGTCGCCCAGTTTCGCGACTACCCGCATTTTACGGCGAATCAGTTAGGTCCCGGCATAAATTTCCATAAAAATAATGTATTAAAAACCTTGGTTATACAATGCAGTTTTACGTCGATTCCACATCTTACGATGACAGTGAGATTTTGTCCAAAAGAAAAAAGAACGCCTTTACTTGAATTGAGCGTGGACCAAATATTCGCGTGTGAAAAATATAAACTTGCATTCCCCTAGGTTGAAGATTAGAAAGGTAGAGAGCAAAACAGATGTCTTCTTAGAATAGAAAGTTTATTCTTTTAAAAGTTAGTGTGCTTCTACACATGCTGCAATCGCATGTGCACGTGCCTGGGGTCGTTACCTAGTCAAGCTATATTCACGCAAAGTAGCTCCAGCTTGCCGAAAAGCTGATATTTTCACGTTTTTGGTCCATGGAAACATTTTCTGGTTGACATACAGCTGATCTCCTGCCTTTGTTCCACTAGCAGTCACATGCTTGCGGGATCCATAAGGGCCCGATGCAGCTGTTTTCACTGTGAAAGATTACTTTCAGTTGACGTCGACTAACACGTTCATACTAACACGTTCATACTAACAGCGGGAAATCACTAGTTGCACTTCACAAGGCCACAAATTACAACATGCATAGCTCAGTCGCACACGAAGGCATTCTACGCCCACTCATGGTTGGTCGTCATTATGTGATAGCGATGACACCGTGTCTGACTCTTCTGACGGGAAGCTATTGGCAAAACGGCTTCGAATTTGTTCTCACGCGCAGGCAATTTTCGGACTCTATTTATCGGTAGAAAGATGCGCATTGGATTCGATTCTTTTTAAACTTGAGAATAGATTCGCTTGCACCTCTTTTAGTTAAGTTACACTGCCATTAGCTGTTGCTGGCCAGAATAATTTAATCTACATTTCTAGCACAGGCACAAGGTTGTGCCGTGGGCTCATTCAGGCAGTCTATACCCATTTTTTGAGGCAAAGCCCGGATTATACGGCAGTTTTCCGTGGTCCCCTGAAAATCGTATAAACGGGGTTCCACTTTAATTAAATGAATGAATGTTCTATAGATATTAATACATGAGTGACAATACCCTACCGAAAGTTGCCTTCAGAAAAACCAATAGCATATAGGAATATTGAACATATTAGTCTGTTGGTCTGTATGGGTCTACAGGTACAATGCTCTATTGGAACTTTATCGATATACAGTCGAGCTCACATATAACGGCCCCACTTAAAACAAACTTTCGCTTAAAATGAACAATATCCGCGTGACCGTAAAAATATACATTGGTTCAATGGCACAAAATTGCACTTACAGCGAACGTCGCCGAGCGCAGCTGATCGGCTACAGCGGAGGGAGTCAGCGGTCCGCCGACTTTCCGGGAAACCAATTTCGACTACCGATCAGGCATCGGCGAGGTGGCCATACATTCTTATTGTTAAACGCCGATTCTGCCTCCGCGACCCTCTAGTTGCTGCTCTCCCCGACCGCTTTTTGTTACGCACCCCTCCGTCCTTTGTCCCCCCGCTACTCTGAGCAACCCGCATCACCAGACGAGGCCCGTGTTTTCACACCGCAACCAATCTTTTGAAGACCCGTCGGCCAGGTACCTTGTTTTTGATCGCTGGTACTGTCGTTGGCGTCACTGGCCTGGAGTGACCTGACCATTTGCCAACTTCATCGGCCATTGACTGCATTGTATCCGATAGTCCGGGTCTAGTGCACACGCCCCACCGACTCTGATAATTTGCTATTTGTTTCGTGTTCAGGACTTGTTCTCGCTCACTTTGCACTCAGCTCAGCATGCCTTCCGCGCGCGTGTGGAAGCGCGAAAGCGGCTGTTAATTTGCGCTGAACGCATCGCGAAATATCAAAGTTTCTGAGGCCACGCGGGCCCGCCGGCTCAACAAAAAGATTTTTTGATCACGACCACCGATTATTCAAACGCCACCGTGCGCACCAAACGAGGCGGCCATGCTTTAACTTCTGCGCACGCTGACACTTTTTCCAAGTTTTTGTACGTGAGAGTTTCGCGGACCTCTCATGCAAGCTACCCAACCTGCCTCCTTCCCGTGTATCTTGGTTTTCAAGGACGCCTTCCCGCCGCATTCTCCCCTCTCCTTATCGCACGTAGGAAGGAATCATTCATTCCTTTGTGCTTTATCGCAACTCCTTGCCCTTCTCTCGCAAGTCTGCTCTCCTCTCTTGGTCACAACCCCTTCACCCGTCTCCACCGCTCCGCGACGCCCACCACGCTGGCTCGAATTAGTTTCGTTTTCCGACTGGAAACGCGCCCAGAGCTGTTCCACGCGTGTGCGCGTCTTGCTCGCTCTTGATGTCCATGTGTGGTCATGAAGGTCGACAAGAGGACAAGCACGCTTTTTCGTGCCGCTCAACAAAACGTTGAAAGTGTGACCGCTTGGCTTGAGCGTAATCTGCGTGTTAGGTGCCGCGTTGCGGAGCGCTTGCTCATAGCTGTTGACCACCTGGCAGCCAACTTGCTGCTTCGGGCGTCCCGGTATTCAGCTGTGGAGATGGTGAATATTTCGTGGGCGGCGGTGACAGCTATATGTGCACGAAACTATTTTCGTAAGGCCGACTTCGTCAATCGTCGCGCCCTATGCCGAGCCTGAAGCTTCCGAACAGGACTACTGCGGTAGCGATTCGTGGCAGCGGGTCATCGACTCCGACCTGGGAGAGCGGGTGGGACATCTGTTGCGATGATTTAATTATGGCCGATTATGATGCCGACACTGCGGAACTGTGCACGGATTGGGGCATTGTGAATGCAGTACGTGGCGAGAGCGATTTGGAGGAATGGGATTGCGAGAACGACGAAGCTTTGAAGTCAGCGCCACATGCAGCTTATGCCACGGGCCTCGGCGAACGAGCAGCCTGTCGTTTTAAATGAACTCGAGACCGCCCTTATCGTTTCTGCTCTTCGAAACCCGTGCATCACAGACATTTTGGGGCAAAAAAAAGTTTGTGTTTTCACTTGCAACTTTTTTTTTAAAGCTGTGTTTCATTTACTACGAACTTCGGGATACAGAGAACGGACGCCGTGTCACGCTCAGGTTCGATATAAGCAGGTTCGGCTGTATTAATGTATTGGTCTATTGGCGCTCCATTAGCCTATTGCGTATTGGTCTATTGATGCATTAGTCATGTATATGTCTATTGGCATTCTATTTGTCTATTACTACTGTACTTGTGTATTGGAACTCTATTGGTCTTCTTCTCAGCTGAGAACTCCTCGTTTTAGAATTAAAATAATGATCATTAGATTACTGCTGCATGGCAGCACCTCTATAAAATGAAAAAATTTCGTTTGAAGTGAGGCATGTATTATATTTATAAATACTACGAGATCATTTCGTCAATTTGGTGATCTTCCCCACAACAAGCTTTCTATGCGTGTTGTTCTTCCTTGTCGAATGTATGCCACAGCACTACTTCTCCAGGTAGTGCCTAAAAAAAAGTACCAGTAAGTAGGGAGGAAAATTTTGTAAGTGCTATGAAAGCAAATGAAGCATTTGAATAAAAAAATTGTAGATACACAATAGTGTAAAATTAGCATAAGCGAAATTCTGATGGGCTGACAGTAAGTAATAGCTTTAGCACGGTAAGGACGGACATTTGGCGCATATGTACAGTGAATTCTGTTATTTATTTTATTTATTTTGTTCACAGAATACTGCGGTCGAAAGACCAAGCAGGGGGGCATAATAAAAAGTGATTCACAATGTAACTTGAGGAGGCACACGGGTCTTTGGGGCCGAAAAATTGCCCAAAAACGCATTTTTTTTAGATGTCATTTTTGAAATCTACAGGTATTTTTCTATTAGTTTGCTCAGTTTTTCTTCCGAAAAGTTGGTACTTGTACAGTAACAGCTATTTATAAAAGCCGTACGGGCCCGATTTGGCGAGATTCTGACGCCAAAATGGCAATTTTTCAATAATTCCCTGCAGCTTTGCCATGGGCAGTATCGCAGTGATCTAGGTCTCATTTGAAAGCGCGGTCTTCGGTCTTCAATTTCCCGCCACTCTGGCTACTGTCCGCTCATTGGTAGAGTAGAAAACACGCGCCAAAAAAAAGCAAAAATACGCGTTCCTATTCGCTGGCGAGCGCACGTAACTAAACAGCGCAACGCGATTGGCCGCACGCGGCATGTGTCGTCTGCTTCGCGCCGTCGGCGGCGCAGTCAGGCGCCATATTGCTCGGACTGAGAACGACAGATTAGCCAAGGATCGCGCGCGATGTGGAAAGCCGGAAGGAAATTCCACACAAGGAATCAGTACGGCAAAAAAAGAAAGAAGTCGCTCCTCGAGAACTTCAAAGGCCGTTCCGCGTCAGCGAGGAGCGCTGAACGAGCAAGCGACCCACCTTCTGTGGCCAGCGGCGAGGCCCCTGATAACATAGGCCTAGCACCTCCGCCGCCGCCCGCTCAAGATAACGCATCCGGCAGCGGCCGCATTCGTCTTGACACAGCAGTGCTGCACCCGTTAGAAGTGGCAGAGGTGCGTCGCAACGCCGAAAACAAGTTGCAAGAGCTCGCTTCAACTGGAGCAACACAACGCAAGTGCGGCCTGTTAGCCGATATCGACGATGCCGTAGCCACGCCGCTGGACGAAACACGGTTTTTGATCGTGAGTTTGGACCAGGTGAAGGAACTGATGCGTGCAGTGAAGTGCAAATTGTGCTCCGGTGATGTAAACATCGGCAAAGAGGACAGGGAGTACGGCCTTGCCGTAAAGCTAGTGCTTACGTGCGCGACCTGCGGCGATGTGTCGGTGGCATGGAGCTCGCCGCGCGTTGACGGCGAGAGCAAGGCAAAGCCGTTTGC